AGGGAAGTGAAACTGAAAGCAGAGAGACCAATCTGAAAGCTAAGCTGATTCAGTAAAAATCTGATCCAGGAAATAAATGAAGTACCACACTGAAGGAGAAGTGGAGGGACTGGAGACAAAAGGATAGGAGAGGGATTGGGGAATTATTTAGAAGATACAGAAAATGGTCTCAGTGCCTAATTGGATATGCAGGGTGATGGAGAGGATTGAATCGATGATGACTTCCAGTTTTCCAACCTCTTGGGCTAATAGTATTCATTAAAGGCTATGACCTCTAAAAGGGTTTGAATACCCTTTGAAGAATTCAAGACAACCTACTGGAGTAAAAGAAAAAAAAAGCAGAATTCCATTTACATTTTTCTGTTTTTTAGTACCTATTTGTATGTGTCTTATAACGCAGACAGTAAACGAATACAGTAGTATTTGTACATAACTTTTGGGGAACTTGAGGTGCCTACAGAACATTTAGGCAATAAATTTCAGTGGGTAATAAGGGTCTAGATCAGTGATGGTGAACCTATGACACGCGTATCAGAGGGGACACGTGAACTCATATTTTTTTTTATTGATTTTTCTTTGTTAAATGGCATTTAAACATATAAAATAAATATCAAAAATATAAATCTTTCTTTTACTATGGTTGCAAATATCAAAAAATTTCTATATGTGACATGGCACCAGAGTTAAGTTAAGGTTTTTCAAAATGCTGACACACCGAGCTCAAAAGGTTCGCCATCACTGGTCTAGATCAACAAGACTGTCCAATAGAATTTTCTGCGATCATGAAAATGTTCTAATTATATACTGTCCAATACGGTAGCCAGTAGCCACCTATGGCTATTGAACACTTGAAATATGGCTAGTGCACTGAGGAACCTAAAATTTTTTTTGTTTATTTAAATTTAAATAGCCACATGTGGCTAATGGTTACCATATTGGAAAGCACAGATCTAAACTTAGAAACCGACCCATTTAATAAGGGTCTGTTCATTTAATAAGAGCTTGTACTGGCTAAGCTTGTTACATACATTTTTAAACAATTTCATCATCCCAACTACCTCACTCAGTAGAAAGTTTTATGCAGGCACACCTCAGTGCCAGACCTCCCCAATAATGTGAATCATAATCTTTTTTCTATTTTTTAAATTTCTTTATTGATTAAGGTATTACATATGTGTCCTTATCCCCCCAGAGCCCCCTCCCCATGCCCTCACCCCCTTGTTGTCTGTGTCCATTGGTTAGGTTTATATGAATGCGTACAAGTCCTTTGGTTGATCTCTCCCCCTTTCCCCACCCTCCCCTGCCTTCCCTCTGAGGTTTGCTGGTCTGATCAGTGCTTCTCTGTCTCTGGATCTGTTTTTGTTCATCAGTTTATGTTGTTCATTATATTCCATAAATGAGCATAATCATAATCTTTTTTGCTGGTGGAGATCTTGCCTTCAATTGGTAAACTCGCAACATCTGTGAAATGCAGTAAAGTGGAGCACAATAAAATGAGGCATGCCTGTGAAAGAAAAGAGTAAGGCCTTCCTTTATCCTTTTAATAGTTAAAGTTTATATTGCAAAGAAGAGCATATTTGCTCTGAAATATGTGTACTTTCTAGATATTCTCTTTTGGAAGAGAATACTTATGCACTTTTCATAACCAAACTTTTCATAACCAACACTTTTATATTTTTCTTTCAGATGGCTTGCTATGTTAGAGATTGAAATGTGTATTATTTTATTATTTTATTATTATGACTGCAGTCTTCTGGACCCATTGCCAAAACAGGTGAGTATTTCCAGAATTTTGAATAGTATGGCTTTTAAATTCGATATGAACTCTCATCCCTGGGTTTTATTTTTTGTTTATCTTTTTAAAAATTGTTATTATTGAAAGTATTATAGATGTCACCATTTTCCCCCCATTAACCCCTTCTAGCCCATACCCAGGCCTTCACCACACTATTGTCTGTGTCCATGGGTTATGCATATACTAGTATATGTGTACAAGTTCTTTCATTTATCTTTTCCCACCCATCCACCCACCCCCACCTTCCCTCTGAGATTCATCAGTCTGGTCCATACTTCTATGTCTCTGGATCTACTTTGTTCATCAGTTTATGTTATCACCCCTTGGTTTTAATTAGTAGAGATAAGCTACTCATTCCCTCTCTTAGACCTGATCTTAACAGGTGTCTAGCATTGAACCAAACTAAGAAGATACTCCCTTAATTCTGCATCTAATCTCTGTACTCCATCATCACAAGACCAGGACCCAATAGCAGTATTTCAACCACTTAGTGTTGGGACCTCTTCAATGAATTTACCGATGGTAACCCCTCTTCTTGCGTTAGATAAACATGGCCTTGATATCGGGCTTGTTTCCCTAGAAAGATATGTCTGTGGGTCCAAAAGTGAACCATCAGTTTTGGAGGCAGGTTGTAGCCCTGGATCCATTTATGGAAGAAAACTAACCCAATGTAAAAACAGTGGACAAAAGTGAAAAGGCCATGACCTTTCCAACCTCTGACCATTGAATGTTCCCATCATTTTCTATAGTTCTGTTTCCTAGACCAACAGCTCTCAAACTGGTGGGAGCATCAGAATCACCTGGGGGCTTTGTTACAATACAGAATACAGGCCCCACCCCTAGATTTTCTGATCCAGTGTGTCTGGGGAGAAGCTCAAGAATTTGCAATTCTAACAAGTCCTGGTCCTGCTGATGCTGCTGGTCTGGATACCACACTTTGAGGACCACTGTCCAAGGGGAAATGCAATTTAAGTCCTAAAGTTTGGAAGTCATTTTGAAAATTCTGGATAAAAGGTGCTATTTAAACTGAAGGTGCACTCGAAGGGGTATTCACATAGCATT